ATGTATTGTTCAATTAGTATTTGGGCTATTTTTTGCATTCTTTTTATTTATTTTTTTAATTATTATTATTAGTTTCTTCACCTAAAAAAGAAAATTGCGTTTGAACTTAAAGGTCCCATGTCATGGCCATTTCTACTGATCACAATTCCATTGTTGAGGTATACTAAATACATTATACACATTGGTTTCTCATGCAGCATCTCTGTATAGTATGTGTATTCACTCTCTGTCCTAAACGGCTTGTTGGAGCTCCTGCCCCCCCCCTCCCTGTGAGCCCAGTGGCCATCTGCGAGACAGCGAGACACAGCGAAACCCAGCCCGAAACACACACACACCCGCAGCCTGGTTGGGAGTTTGTGTGTGTGCCCAGGCTGAGTTCCGCGGTGTCTCGCCGTCTCGCCGACCCCACACCAGTGAGCCAGCTCACAGTGTCCCGCTCCTCGCAGCAGCGAGCCTCGCAACGTCCCGCCGAGTGTGTGTGTGTGAGGAAGTCCGCGGATTGGTCCAAACGTAACGGCTCCGAGGATTGGTCCATTTGGACCAATCTGCGGAGGCGTTACGTTACGTTACGTCACTATACCCGAAATACGTCACTATACCCAAGAAGTAAACAATGGAAAAAGAGAAATCTCCAACGTGGCGTTCTGGGGCAGAAAAGCATGACATGGAACCTTTAAGGCGTAGGATGTGGCATGTTGCTTTGTTTTGTTTCATGTATACTGTGTGTAAAAAACATAGTTTGTATTTTATTTATTTGAAGCAAAGTACATGAAACAAAATAATAGATTATAACGTTATATGACGTTTGAGGACTTCTGCATTTTGCCCGTTGCTCACTTGCTTTTTCTCACAGACTTCTATACGATCTGACTGCTTTCTGTATAAGAGTTCCTCACCTGTTGGCTTTTAGAAAGACTTCAGGTTTAAGACACTTCTGCATCGGCTTCCCTCCTCAGACACGGAGACACTCGCTTTAACCGCTAATCTGTTTGTGTTTCCCCAGAAGGTGAAGGAGAGTCGGGAGCAGCTGGAGCGGCAACTGCAGGAAGCCAATCTGAAGGCTCAGGGGTAATGTTGGGAAAATACTGAATGTCCTCTTCCAATATGAGAGTAACATGATAACAAAGGTACCCCAACTGTAGCTGTGTACATGACAGGATGTATGATTACCTAGAAGAGCATCAGGACTGTTTTAGGCATATGATAGCTATGTGATTAACATGATGATTCAGCCTCTATGGAGATAGACATATGACAAGCATGATCATTTCTGACGTGGAGCTCATCTGAACTAAACATTGAATACTGCAGAATTTTGAGAAAAAGTAAATTTTTTGAGAAAAAGTCAGAATTTTGAGATTTTTTGAAAAAATATCTAAATTTTGAGAAAAAGTCAGAATTTTGAGAACAAGTCAGAATTTTGAGAAAGAAATCACAATTGGGGGAAAAAGTCGGAATTTGGAGATTTGGAGAAAAAAATCTGGATCTTGAGAAAAAAATCAGAATTTTGAGAAAAAGTCAGAATTTTGAGAGAAAGTCAGAATTTTGAGAGAAAGTCAGAATTTTGAGAGAAAGTCAGAATTTTGAGAGAAAGTCTGAATTTTTAGAGAAAGTCAGAATATTGAGAGAAAGTCAGAATTTTGAGAAAAAGTCAGAATTTTGAGAAAAAGTCAGAATTTTGAGAAAAAGTCAGAATTTTGAGAGAAAGTCAGAATTTTGAGAGAAAATCAGAATATTGAGAGAAAGTCAGAATTTTCAGAAAAAAGCCAACATTTTGAGAAAAAACTCAGTATTTTGTACATGACAGGATGTATGATTACTTAGAAGAACCGGTATTCCTCCATCTTGTGACTGTGTAACTCCCTCTCTTGTATATCAGCATGTGAAGGACACTGTTCAGGAACTAGTTGATGCTCTGTATGTGATGACTACTTCCATTCTGGAGAGGATCACAAATACATGGATCCTGATGTTGAAGCTCAAGCCGGTGACCAGTGATATTTTTCTAACAGGTACCAGCAGCAGCTCCTGGAGAAAGAGCAGGAGGCGGAGCAGTACCGCCTCAGACTGGAGCAGGCCATCGCCACCAGCAACAGCATCAACAACAACAACATCACCACGACAACTGTTACCATAAACTCTACAGTGAAGGAGGAGGAGGAAGAGGAGGAGGAGGAGGAGGAGGAGGTGGTGATGCTGGAGGAGCAGCTGGAGACCACAGTGGAAGCTAAAGAGGTGGAAGACGAGGAGACGAAGCAGGAGGATGAAGAGGAGGTCGTCTGTGAACTTCCAGGAGAGACACTTCCTGTGACTGAGTCTGAGATGGAGGTGGAGACCGAGGGTTCAGAGGAGACACACAAATCCTCCCCCGGTCAGCGAGGCCGAGGAAGAGGGAGAGGAAGAGGGAGAGGAGGACGCAGACACTAGCACCATGATTTGTGATGATCTATTTCAACGATCTTCATAACCTTTTGTAAAGATTAGGAAGACTTTTGTAAATATGTTCATGCAGCACACTCTACATCACTGAGAGGAAACAGTTAGCATCACAGACTTTTAAACGATCACCTGTAACAACATGACCAGACTCATAACTGAAATGTTGAGAGGGATTGAACGACAGGGGTCTCTCAGTGACTAATGTCAATATTAAAAATGATGACGTGTGTTATATAGATTGTGTTTAGAGTTTCTCTCCCCTGCCAGAAATGCCTACATTAGACTCATGAACTTATGCAACATAATGACATCCCTATGTAACACTGCGCTTCTATTGGCTAACACATTGTACCTGAAAGGGGCGGGACATCTCTAAGCGGTTGACCAATCACAAAAGAGCCGGCCAGCTAACCAATCAGAGCAGACTGGGCTCTGGTTTGAGACAGAGGGTGAAAAGAGGTGCTGCAGCACAGGCAGTATGAGAAAAATAAAGAGATATTTGGACATTAAAGCATAGAGACATGTCACAGTAGAGACACTACATACTGATATGAATATGAAAATGAGTATAATAGGGCGTCTTGAAGATAGCAGTGCGGCAGTTGGCTGATAAACAATGCAGAAATATTGTTGTTATTGTTTTTGGTTCTGATAAAAAACAACAATTTCATTATATATTATAATAACTATATTGACAGGTGTTCATATCCTTCCCTGGTACTAGATAACGAACCTTTAAAAGTGTGTAATATGTATTATTCTTTGTTATATTTAGTTATCTTTTAGGTCAAATTATTCCTTGCGTTTATTTTTCATGACATAATGTGTGAAAGGGCCTCCTGCGGTGATGCCAGAGGAGGATTGTTTCTCTGTGGAGGTGCACAGTCCGGTCAGAGATAATCATGAAGCAATTACAGTAAGAGCCCTCCATGTTTCTTATCATGGAGCAGATAGGAGCCGCTGCTGGGATCAAGGACTCTTACACCGTATCTTTTCTGGGAATCAAACTTGTTACTTTTTTAAGCAGCTTTTTCACCACTCGACCCCCCCGAGTTCTCCTGCGGTGTGATTTAAATGAGTCACAACAAGACGAATCTGACTGTTTTTAAACGTGAAAACCCACAACTCAAAATTATGTTTTACTGTTAATTCTTTGTCTTTTGGCAGATCTCACAAAGGGGGTTATTTAAATGTGACATCAGTGCAACTCTTGACAGATTTAAAGGCTTTTGTGTTTGTTTTTTAAACTATAAAACATTTGGTTAAGTGTACGAAGTGAGCCGATATCAATAACATGAATTCAATTGCTTTTTTACCCCATTCATTATAAAGCCCATTTTCTCATTACTGAAACTGTCACGGGTAATTTGTTAACATGTTCAAGGTCTTTATTCAACACAAAAGCTTATTTTTTTGACACAAGTTTTTTAAATGTAATTATGTGAGGCAATAAAAGGAATAGAGAAAATGGAAAAACGTGTTACTTCTGAAATTACAGTGCAAATAGTGTAAAAATGTAACACAGTCTTTATGAGTTTGCTCATGTGCTAATTATGTTTGAATAACTTGTTTTGTGGTTCTGGTTTAATGACTGAAGTGACACAACATTTGTTTTATTCAATAATGCTGCATCTAGAACATTTTAAAATGTCTTTTATATTTCAATAAAAATGCTCTCTTTTATTCACATTTTGCCTTTTATCTGTACGTACGTAATGATACTAACACTCACTCGTTATTATGTGCATGAGTAAATATAATTTGGGAGAAAAAAGCCATGATTTCCCTCTGCTGCAGCCAGTAAAGCATTAACCTCCAGCTGCTCTCTCCTTAATGGTCACCAGTAATGGCTCTACTCATTAAACTGGCTCCCAGTGACCAACAGTCTGACGCTGTAGTGAGAAATAGTGTTGCACACAGCTCTTTGGGTATAAAATGTTAAATTGGGCACTAAAGAGCTCATTGGGAGTGTGTCTTGGTGAGTTGTTGAACAGCTGTCCACTGATATACTTTAGATCAGGGGTGTCCAAACTTTTTTCACTGAGGGAAACAGAAAAATATACGAAGGGCTGTGTCGCTCACTGGAGGTTTATTTCCTCATAAGTTCTGTTATAAGTTGGAAAAGTCAATCCTATGTACTAGGTACATTATTCTTGATACTTGAAAATGCTAAAAGAGCTCTCGAAAAGGTTTCATTTATTGTGCTGGCAGCTCATTCCTTCAAACAGAAGCTTCAGATTGCTTATAGGAGGAAATATGGAGGGTATATTTCAAGGTTGTTATGTAAATTAGTTATTGGGCTTTTTTCTTATCAACTTAGATTTGTTAGAACATGTTTTCAACTTTAATCGACTGAATTTATTTGAACATTGGGCTTATTAACACATGAATACTGTGTAATATATTTGATACAGTATACCCATAAAGACCCACCGTGACACGGGTCTCACATGAACTTTAAATGTTCTGGAAAGTTCCTTATACAGCTTTAGCCTTTATGTTATCTCATGAAGTCCCTAAGTGACACACACTGAACAGTCTGGTGGGTCCTGGGCCAGGTCATGTGACTTTGTGTTCCCATAACAACATGTCCAAGATGTCCATGTGCCAGACTAACACATGTGACAGAACTAGCTACATTTCAAAAGCTTTTTTTGTTGTTGCTAAAGGTAAAATTCAAGTCATTTAAGAATGAAAATGCTTACAGTACATAACATGTCCTTTATTACATGTGGAAACATTTATTGATCAAATTGATATGAAACAAATTAGATATATATCGCTGTGACACAACTTTCACAGTAAAGTGAACACATTATGCACAATCAGAAATATGATTATGATCTGCTCAGTTAATTTAGCTGATTCAATTATATTGAGTTAATATGTTCTTATTGTTCTGGAACTGCTACCTCCGTGACCCGACCACGGATAAGCGGGAGAAGATGGATGGATGGATGGATGTTCTTATTCTTCAATTCAAAGAATGTTCAAACTAATTTAAACCAAAAAATCATCCTCATTAATTAAGTTATAAATAAGAGTTATTTTACCATTAAAGCCTAATGTGACATATATGTCACATTTCAGATATTTGACACTAGGGGGGGTTACTTGTCAGAAATGTGTTCTAGGTGGTCTATTTAGTCTAAATTATGTTCCCCTTAATTTTCCCAAAAGTAGAAATGGGTCCGGGTTCTTATGGGTTAAGAAGTACAATATAAGACAAGCAGAAGTTTATTATACTTTTTTTATTTGCTAAGTGAGGGCCAATTCAAAATGGCCCCCGGGCCGTAGTTTGGACCCCCCTTGCTTTATGGGGTAAAGCAGATTTCGGCCGACAGGAATCTGACAGGACCAGCTCCATCCTCTTTTTCACAAGTTTAAATTCAAGATCTAAGTCAAGGCTTCTTTCTCTCAAAATCTGTGTAAAACAGCGCCTAAACGTTGCCAAAAGAATGCGTCTGCTGCACAGGTGTGGCAATCAAGACGCTGATTGCACAGCAGGATATTACTCACAGGCCTTGGGCTTTTCACAATAAAATCCTCATCTTAAATGTGCACTTTTATCGTGGAAAGGGACATTTATCAGGCACATAACTGGGGATACAAATGTGCATTTTTAAGTCACACATCATCAATAAAGTAACAGTTTTATAATGCCAGATGCTATCAAAGGTGAGCATTTTTAAGTTGTTTTGAAAGATGCAGTGAGGTCGAGCCCCTAAAGGTCCCCTACTGTTTTTCATCAATATATTATAGGTCTCAGATATATACAAAACATGTCTCTGAAGGGTTTGGCTCCAAACACCACACAGATCATTGCAGCATCCCATAATCCCCTCTGTTTCAGCCCTGTTTCAAAAGTGCTGATTCTCTGTCTGTTACTTTAGATGAAAATAAGGAGCCCCTCCCCACGCCCCTCTGAGAGATATTTGGTTAAAAAGAACTCAATGGTGCTCTAGGAGGAGATTCAGGTGATAAGGTGGGGGGGGGGTTACCTTGGTTGGTGATTGGCTAATGGTTACACAAGACAAAACATCGTTATGACATCATAAAGTGGCCAAAATCTGATCAGCTCATTTTCAGACAGGTTTTTATAAAAATGGATCAGGACAAAAAGAGAGAGAATCTTTGTTCCTGAAACTTTCAGAGGCTCTTTACACAGAGGGGACACATGTTGATGTAGAAGAGACATGAAGAAGAGGGGACACATGTTGATGTAGAAGAGACATGAAGAAGAGGGGACACATGTTGATGTAGAAGAGACATGAAGAAGAGGGGACACATGTTGATGTAGAAGAGACATGAAGAAGAGAGGACACATGTTGATGTAGAAGAGACATGAAGAAGAGGGGACACATGTTGATGTAGAAGAGACATGAACAAGTGGACTATGCATATACTGTAGGTGACCTTTAAGTATAGAATGAGAGGTATTGCCTGGGATCACACTTCCCTGCCTCCTCCTCCTCTTCACTCAGGCTGTCTGTTATTTTCAGAACTGTTCTCACATTTCAGCCCTAAAACCCCTTCATGGCCCAGCTCCTTGCTCTGTTATAGATGACCTCAGGCTGATTGAGGCCTCACACAGCCTGAGATCACCTGCGGGGGCCCTCAGGCATCTCACAGACAGCCCCTCATCTGTCAGGAGGACCCCAGGCTCAGAGCAACCTGCCTGAGGAGCACAGCTACCATCATCCGTCATTTTGAGAATCACCTTTTGAAATGTACCCGATTTATTTTCTTCCTTGTTCCGTTTTTATCAGAGAGCTATATGACATACCTTGTTATAAAGTACACTCCAATATTTTTGAGGGTATAGCTTGTGTTGGTGGGACTTTATATCTTTTTTAGGGATAGCAATTCATTATTATTATTTTTGTATTATTGTTATTAGCTTATTAGGGACAGTGCACAAAAAGGCTAATTGTTGTAAATGCCCCAGAGTTAGCCAAAAGGATATTTTTCATTATGTTGTTTCTATCTATCATATTTAGTCCTGGCAGATGACTCAAGGTCACTTTAAAAAACAATTATAATATACAGTATATTATATATAACAAAATGCAACATACACGCTAACTATACAGGATATCCTGTTAAGCCCCAAGCCTGTTTTTCAGGTTTCAGGCTTTTTTTTATTTTAAAGTAAATTCAGATTGAACATAGTAAAAAAATGTAAATTATAGTGTCCGTCCAAAATAAACCCATTACTTACTGTATAGTGAAAACCACCCTTGAATGATGGGATAGTAGACTAAAAGCTTTAGGAATCCACACTATAACATATAATAAGTAGGCTACCCTGTATCAAGATTGATGCAAAACAAGTGACATTTGACCTTTTTAGAGAGGTTTAGAAAAAAAAACTCACTTCTGGGGTCATTTGGGTGCATTTTCCGTATCTCTGGCCCCCCTCGGTCGATTTTGATGATTGACACCTCTTTTTAACCGTTAGAGCCAATAGAATCGAAGGGAAGTTCCTAAATCCCCCTAAACATTTCCATTGAGGAATGAGAGTGATGCGCACGCAGTTTGCCCAAAACCGGAAGCTGGGTTGTAGCTCTAATAGCAGCTAATAGCAGCTAATAGCAGCTAATAGCAGCTAATAGCAGCTAATAGCAGCTAATAGCAGCTAATAGCTGCTAATAGCAGCTAGCCTACCTCAGGTAAGATATATCTGTTGTAATTTATTGTCGTTTATTGTGATTGTAGTAATGTGTTTTTATTACATGTACAGCACTTTGGCTCGACCAAAAATCGCTTTTAAATGTGCTATATAAATAAAACCTGATTTGATTTGATTTGATTTGATAATAGCAGCTAATATGCAGCTAATAGCAGCTAATATGAAATCTTCGTATTTGACAAAAATTGAATGATGGATTATCAGTAATAATTTCAAAGTGACACAGACACATTGGATTAACCTATGGATTAACCTTCAGCAGCGTTTTTCTCGTTTTAATGCCATTGAAGACAACTTTTGATCAGAAACAGCAAAAGGTAAGACATATTTTCAGTTTTTGCTCCGTAAAGCTACGTCGTGTGTTGTCTGGGTTTGCTTCCCCTGCCGCAGATCCCATAAGTAATAAAGTATTTATACCGTGAGTTCTGTGCTAAGTGCGTTAGCATTTTTTCGCTCAGGGCTCATTTAGACGCTTCTTGTGAGACTTGTGTTTTGTTTCGGTAAAAATGGTTCGTATCGTCAGTTAGCTGAGTTTCTTCCCATTCATAGTTTGTTAAGAAGCCCTCAGACGCTGTTTCTTGCAGATGTTGCGTTTTTGCCCCCGCGCGGGTCCGTGGGGCTCAACAGGTTAAGCAACAAAAACAAATAAGCTAAATATTAGTTAGTTAAAACACTGTTACAAGAACATGCACATTTAAAAAACTACAGCATGAAATACCTTCTTATAAAGTACACTTCAATACAATATACTGAAAAACACATACACATTTGAGGGTATAGCTTGTGTTGGTGGGACTTTATATATTTTTTAGGGATGGCAATTCATTATTTAAGTTTAAAAAAAAATTGTAATTAGTTTATTAGGGACAGTGCACAACAAGGCTAATTGTTGTAAATGCCCCAGAGTTAGCCAAAAGGACATTTTAAATTATTTTGTTTCTATCTATCATATTGAGTCCCTAGGCAGATGATTCAATGTCACTTTAAAAACCAATTA